AAAATGTAATAGTAAACATTAGGAGAAAATTTGACAAAAATCGAACAAAATTGGGTTTTTTATGGTTCGTTATTTTATTTTCAAAGAAGCGAAGCCATGTGTTTATAGCCAAAGACACTCTCACCAATTCAGTTAATACAGACAAATGATTAGAAACTTGATCGGTACTCTAGTTTTCTAGGAGTAGGCCGTGTAAAATGACATTTTGGCGTCACAGACGGAATGACAGAATGGACAAACAGACAGACAAACAGACAGACAGAAATTGAGATATGACTCGTTTCGGCTTTCTTAGGCTATGAAACGTAAAAATAACCAAAAACTGCATGATTCTAAGCAATATACAGACAAAACTGTAATTTATTTACATAGATTAGATCAACACTAACCCGATGTAATTTTAACATAGTTAAATTTCGAGTTTTTTTTAATTTTTTTAAATTGTTTGGCATTCATTTACATATTTATTGTAACTGGTATTGTTATTTATTTATATTGTATTTATTAATATTGTTATTTATTCATATTGTTATTTATTTATATTGTTGTTATTTATTTTGTCATTTATTTATATTGTTATTAACTTTATTGTTATTTATTGTTGATTTTTTCTATTGTTATTTCGATTGTCACATTGTTTGTGTTAAGTTGGAAACTGTTTGTTGCCTTTTTTTTTTCAAATGGCTCTGCCGTTGGAATGATAATAAATAAATAAATAAATAAGTTGTCCTCTTTGGACGAGTTATGTTTCAACAGCTGACAACAGCTCTTTGCAACACAAATACTTTTTCACCACACTATGATGTTTTTTGCTGTTTTACATATGTTAATTGGTGGCTGAAAGTTACGTTTTGCTGGCCATGCCAGCTGTCATCGTCATTTGGGGACCGAGCAGGTTTTTACATCCCTAGAGCCGCAAAATCAGCTGCTCGCTTACTTTCTTAAAACATAAATGCATATAAAATACACAATCAGTAACCATTACATTGCAATTGAATAAATTGTTTTATTTTCACCGCTGCCTAGCAACTATTTTTTTTTTTTTTTTGCTGATTCCTCAAATTATTTCTTCACATAACCTAAAAGTTGTAGTTGTGGTGACTATCAGTGTGCATTATTTTTACTATTGTGGCAAATAGTGGTAATAGGGTATAGTGTGGTGAAAAAATAGCGTTCGTACCACGGACTGAAATGGTTTTGCAGCTTTCGATCGTTGCAGTTCTTGACTTCGTCTTGAACTTAAAAACTATCTCGAGCCGGTAAAACATAATTTTCGGCCCTAGGTCCGAAATATACTATTTCGTCATACAACCGTTCGTAAAAAAACCGTTTTTAATGCATGCGTTGCGGGTAAAAAGTACCATTTTTACTCTCTAAGGAGTAAAAATATTTTTTTAGCTCCTAGGGAGTAAAAATTTGGTGTTCACCTAAGTTATAAATATCGATTGTAAAAAATTACATGTATCGAAAGTGTGTATCGATGGTTTAATCAATTGCAGTTAATTTTTGCCATAATATAAATAGTTTGACATATCGATAGTATAATGCACATTAGTACACTAACACAATCGTAATAGACAAACCGATTCAATCACTTACTCAACAGCTGCCTATTATTGAAAACAAGCTGGAAGTTGTTTTGAGAGGTTATCTTTACATAAACATCATTTCTAGCTTTCTTTGTTAATTAATTATGCAATATGACGAAAAATATAGTTCATCACACGGGCAAATAGTTTCTTTTAACCCTCGCTCATTTTCCGACTTCGGCTTCGCCTAGATCGTAAAACTTGACCTCGGTTCAAAAAGAGTAAAAAAATGCAAAAAAATGTTATCAATTTAGTGCAATATGTGTGTATTCCAATCCTGGTTGTTTAATCATTCCAATCCTGGAAACCAGCCAAGTGTTTACTCTCTCCTGTATCTTTGCTATGTAACGTTCAAGTAGTCTGAAAGTTTACGTTCTAAGTAATATCATGAGTGAAAGAAACATTTTCATAATAAATTACGTCTCAATCCTAACGTTAATACAACTTCCTAATATAGTCCACATTTTACACAATCAATGTTAAATTTGTATTTTAACAATATTTTTTGTTTATAATTGTCAGCAAGTTGTAGTAAAACCGGAATTAGATTATTTTTGAAATTTCATTTTCGAATGAATCAATTTCATATGTTTACCATTGGAGTTATAGCGCCATACGTTTAAGACATGCCAAATTGGTTTTAGAGAACCTAGTCGTGGATTATTAACTGTATTTGCAATTTTGTGAAATACCCTCATAAAATGTGTTTGTTTTATTGGATTTACAGGTTATTTTGTAAATTGATTGCTAAATGTATTTTTATTCCATAATTAGGTAAATTATTCATTGCAGTATCGTTAAAACTTTATTAGGCAATGCCCTAATAAAACAGTCTAGCTCATTAGTTGAACGTTATAACCCGCAAAAGTTGACGTTGATAATATTGTGATTTACATTGTAATGAATCCCTATAAAAAGTAGTGTGGTTGGCAGTAAAAGCTATGTGGGCATAATCGAATGTTTTTAACTTATTGATAAAGGACAACAATGAAATTGGCCAAACCGGAGCTAATTCATTAGCCTCGCACAGCCTGTAGAAGGTCTGATCATCAGTCTACATGATTTATTGCTAAAACTTTTACAAACGACCAGATGACATGCTTTTAGCTTGTTTGAAAGAAACTATGATCGTGTGAGCTCAGATTTTGTATCTTGAGCTATATAAGGACACTTTTTACAAAACTATAAATTTAGAATAAAAATTTTTATTAGAAATGTTTGTTTTACTTACCAATAGAACAATATTATTTGTATTGTGTTAGATTATCTCAAAACAAATTTAGTTTGACAGCTATAATAAAACCAACTTGCATTATAGTCCAGTCATATTAAGAAAAAATACTCTCTAACTTGAAATATTTCCCTAAAATTTCCAACTTAATTCGGAAGCAACCAATAACAACACATTAAAAATCTACATTCGTGCCTACTGTGCTACGGTCACCATCTTGGAAAATGGCGGCCGATTTCCAATGTTTAAACTAAGTAAATGTTAAATGTGTTTCCCTTAAAAGTGTTTGACTCCATTATAAAAATGCCGCTGGCGTAGATTCAAGCAAAAAAAAAAAATGTTTTCTATCAATGAAGAACCAGCAATATTGTAGTTCTGTTAAACCATTATTTATATTTATTATGTTACGATAAGATATTCTATGTTTTCCATTTACCATGAAATAATAATTGAGTCTTATTTTTGTGCGAACTCAACATTGGCCAATTTAGAGCTGCTGAGTGTTTGTTTTGAATTTTAACCATACGATTTCAGAAATATTTTCAAAAAATATGAAAATGTATTAAAAGTTAAAATAAATATTTTGCCGGGACATTTCATGATAACATTATACCAATTCATAGGCTATGTAGTCATAATTCTATAGATATTTCCTATATTATAAAACCTAAATAACATATTTGTTAGCTCCATCATTATGATTATAAGATTTGTAAAAACAGCTTATTACAGCTATAATGTCTACCATTATATAAACTGCTAATGTCTTAAGAATAATATGATCAATATTTTCCCGTCATTAGGCAAGTCTATAATATTAAAGAGTTCCTAATGTACTTAAAACCAAAAAGCTCAAGGATGCCTAAACAAATTATGGTATTTGTTTGGAAAGGTATTTGCCAAAGCTGGCAATTAATTACTAATTGTCTGTAGCACCACGAGCATGCGAGATTTCTCATTGATGAATCAGGATGTAGGTTATATTATAGTTTACACCGTTTAGAACTCCAATCATGGTTATCAGAGCTGCATTGTTGACAGACTATACACGTACATTATATCATTATTGTCAATTGAGACTTGGTTTAACTACTAGGGATAAAATAAACTGAGTTCAAATGAGGCTATTAAATTACAACAGTAACATAACCTCAAATCAAAACAAAAAGTAGGTGTTAAAACAATAATAATTGAAGCAACTACAAATTCATTTGGACGAAAATAGGCTTGGTTTAGGGATAGCTTTAAGTGAAGTTTTATTTATATTTTAATTTATTGTTTTTATTATGTTCTTTTTTTAGTACATTTGATTATATTTCAAGTTAGGCTACTATTAATTAATTGCAGTAACTTATTTACCCCTCAAACGGAAGAGTTAATAGACATTTCCTGTTGTAAAGTTAATTTATGTTTAATATATATAACCAGAAGATTTGTTATTTGTTATGATTTAATTTAGAAGGCATGAGGAGATGCTCACCAACAATAGATGATGAACATTATCAGAGTTTGGGTTTGAGTAACTTTAAGATCGTTCCTGTAATTTTATCAATTAATAAATTATCTATTATTCAACTATTTGGACTATTTCATGCTGAAAACATATACTGGTGAGAAAATAAAGGTACTTGGAGAGTTTCAGGTATCCGTTAAACCACCTGAAGGCGGGCCAAATCAACTACTACCAATTGTTGTCATCGAGAGTAGTGTTCCAAACCAACCTACCAGAAACTGGCTGAACAAAATCAAATTGAACTGGAACACACTGAAATCAGGTGAAGAATCGGTCCAAAAGCTGGATGTGTACCGACTGAATGGTGAGTCCGAACCATACTATCACTTAGTTAAAGATTTGAAAATAAATTTGCACCTGCCTTTGAACAAGTTCCTGGGGAAATTAAATGCAAACCTTGTCCGGCCTTCTACTTTGGCGAATCAAAAATGAAGGCATTGGCACGCAGTTTTGTTTGGTGGCCAGGAATGGACAGAGATATAGAAAATATGGTGAGGGAATGCTCGATATGTCAAAAGACACGTAAATCTGCTCCACTTGTACCCCTACAACCATGGACTGGCCACATCATTGCTGGCAAAGAATTCATCTCGATTTTGCCGAGTTTCAAGGAAAAGCCTTTTTGTTGGTTGTAGATAGTTATTCTAAATGGATTGAGGTGTTCTACATGACTGGTACTACTGCTAATCACACTATCGAGAAGCTGAGACATTGCTTTGCAACTTTCGGACTTCCAAACACTGTTGTTACCGATGGAGGACCACAATTTAGATCTGAAGAATTTTATAGTTTTTTAAAACATAATGGAGTTCACCACATATTTACTCCTCCGTATCATCCTGCATCCAACGGTCTTGCTGAACGAGCAGTTCAGACAGTCAAGGATGCGTTCCGCAAGCAAATGCTTCATGACGCCAAGCATAACTGTTCCCGAAGTACACAACATCGTATAGATTCGTTCCTCTTCGTTTATCGAAACACCCCACATTCTATCACTGGCATGACACCTTCAGAAGCTATTACTCACCTGAACCCACTAAAACCCCATCTGGCATCAGAAATAGAAGTGAAGCAAGATAGTATCACTAAGTTGGCTAACAAAAATCGAGGGAAGCCTAGAAACTTCAATTTGGGAGAACAGGTATTAGTGCGTTCAGTACGCAAGGAGATTATACGATGGCATCCCGGGGTTGTTACTAAGATCATAAGTCCTGTCACATATTTGGTGAAAGTAGAAGGCCGGACAAGGTTTGCACATGCTGACCACCTTAGAACAAGTCACTTGAAAAGCGATGAAGAAGAGGACGATCCAAGAGAAATTTATTCACGTCCTAAAGAGATAACGTTACAACATGACGATGCAGCAAAATCTCCATCATCACATACCAGACCACTATCAGATGCTGTCATTCGACGCTCTCAAAGAACCTGCAGAATGCCAGCAAAATTAGATCTATAAACAAATTCCTCCCTTTGTTTCAATATTTTTTTTAAAATAATTTTATTTTACGTTGGAAGGAGTTTTTGTAAAGTTAATTTATGTTTAATATATATAACCAGAAGATTTGTTATTTGTTATGATTTAATTTAGAAGGCATGAGGAGATGCTCACCAACAATATATGATGAACATTATCAGAGTTTGGGTTCGAGTAACTTTAAGATCGTTCCTGTAATTTTATCAACTAATAAATTATCTATTATTCAATTATTTTGGACTATTTCATGCTATAATATTTCCGAAGAAGTAGAAGATGAAGATTATGACACTTTAGTACCTAGAACAAGAGGGCCTACTAAAATAAAGGACAGAATTTACCATTTCAATAAACGGAATGAATCTGAATTTGACAACAACTTATAATAACTTGATAACATAACCTTAAGTGATGTTATTCTAGCTGCATTCGCACTTTGCTGTCTGCTCTACTGAGTTGTAGCGTAGCGTTGTGGTGGTTGTAGGAAACACTAGCCCAAAGCCCACCAAAGATTCCTTACAAATACACATTCAGGATTGCCAACCGCTCGAATTGCCGTTTATCTTAAACGAAGCCAGTAAAATATTGGAGAAATCGAACACACATTTTAAACGGAGTTTAAAAATAAACTAAATTATTATAAACGTAGTTTACACCATTTTGGGAAAACCGGGCCTTAGAATCTTGAGAACATTGTCTTTAAATAACTTTTAGTGTATAGAAATTTCATTTCATAGCACAGTAGTTCTTTGAATAATTTCTATGGTTAGCCTTAGCCCCTTTAAGTTTTTGTTTTATGATCCTAATAGACCAATATAGATGTTTGTCCAAACGCTTCTGAATCTTAAGGTATAAACCTTAAGATTCAGAAGCGTTTAAGCGTTAAGCTTAAGCGTTTAAGTAATCAGGACAGCAACTATTGATAACAATAGTTGCTGTCCTGATTACTTCTAGTAAATCTCAAACTCAAAGCTTTAGCCTTTGTACTGCAATCTTTTTTTAATTCAATACCATAATCAACATACTAGCTTTGTGTTATAATTTTTTTATGTATAAATGTTTTCTATTTTCAGTGCTTCTTTCCCAAATTCAGGCTTGAACCAATGGATACAATGTTTATTCATAGCTTCCCCGGGGAGCGCCGCCCTGTCGAGCGAGTGAGTGGCAGACGGTGTTGGAAATAGAAGCGTTACAAAGCCAACGTGCTGACATTTTTAGGAGGTATGGAGCTGTGGACGGCTGAACACCATGCATTTGTAGTGGAAGTGTTTTAAAAAAATGGCAATTCGTGTGTAGCTATTCAAAGTGGGTTAAAGAAGAAAAGTCCCAACTTGAAACACCATTTTGTTGTGGGTGGGTAGCTTTAAAGATACTAGTTCAGCATTGAAGCTAAAATCAACAGGCCATCCAAGGTCAGTCCGGACGCCGGAGAACGTCAAGAGAGTGAGGAAAACTGTGTGATGTGGTTGATAGTGCGATTCGTCGCTCAAAATGAAAATTTTGTCACGTCTAAGTAAATTAATCACCTGTTTTGAAAATGAGATGCGCTTTACATAACCACTGGGCTTCAACTGTTGCACGATTGCCATTTTGTATGAATGAAAGTACAGGTCGTATCGTAATACTCTTCTACCGAGCGACCAGACATGTGTAGAGCTTCAGCTTATTTACGTGCAGGCAGCTGAGGACTAGCTTCCACAGCTTCGCTCACTCTCTCGGCGGTCTCTGGCGTTCGGCCTGACCTTAGACGGCCTGTTGACTTTTTTCAATGTTGAACTAATAGCTCTAAAGTTACCCACCCACAGAAAAATGGTGTTTCGAGTCTGGACTTTTCACCATGGACCCACATTGAAACGTCGACGGAACTGCCGCTGTACATCTACACTGGAATTGCCACTTAAAAAAAGAAAAAAAAAAACACTTCTACTACAAATGTATGGTGCTCATCTGTCCACAGCTCCATGGCTACTAAAGATTTCCGCACCTAGGGTTTTGAACGCCCCTATTCCCACCACCCTCCGCCGCTCGCTTGCTCAACAGGGCGGCAAAGAAAACCGTCAGATCATTTTGCCGCTCCCTGTACTACTTTTGTTTGGTTTTAGCTGCCCCGGAATAGGCTAAACAAGGGTTTTGGGCATGTTTGACTTTATATCTCTCTTAATATACTTATAAGGTTAATTCTTAGCCAATTATGGGTTTTCTACTTACCCTTCTTCTTCCTTAAAATGGGAGGACGATTTTACTTTAAATAATACATATAAATTGTGTACATTTCCTTCAAAGTAAAGTACAACAACGTTATATTATATTAAATATAAATACCAATGTTTTGTATATAGCTTTTACGAGTGAAAATTTTGTTGCGTTACGTTATTCACCTATAGTCACCCCAACCAATGCTCCAATACCCTAAAATACCACTTATTATTGGTGTGTCGTTTGACTTTGGAGTGCCTTCCAACCCACTTCTATTTTCAGATAAAATTATGAAATTCGGTAGGGTATTGGTCTATGGCCCAAATTACATTGAAGATCTAAGATTTCCAAAATGTCTAATCCAACCCCCTCTATTGAATTAAAAATCCGCTTTGCTATCCTTTTTTAAGGTAAATATTTAAACGGTTTTAATCCGACAAGGAACTTGATACCTAATAATAAGGTAATTTTGCCATAGGCATAAATCATTAGAAAAGGCTGAATAGAGACCAATCCCATCATAAGAACCCCACCCTGCCCCCACCCTGCTCTACAAAATCTCCCCATTAGAAAATTTACTGTTTCTAGCCGCTCTAGATATGTAGAGGTTTTGTTGCTTTGATAGCCTGAAACGTATCTTTTTAAATTTCCTTCCTTATGAAAGATCCCATTAATTTTACCCCCTAATATCCCAAAATGGAAATGTAATTCAATTTTCAATTTCAATTCATTTATTTCTCGCATGCGAAATTTTGTGACACTGCAGTGCCATTTTTACCTCTCTAGCTACAAGCTATTTTAAAGAAAGAATTTAATTCCATTACGTGAATATAATATCATTTACAAAATACTTAATATTAATACATTTTGTTTGTGGTTTGCAAATAAAACTGAACAATAATATTTGAACAGAGAAATGTTTGTATTTTTATTGTTTTGTTAATGTAAGTAATATGAGTCTATTATATGGAAGTAGTTATGGGTCGGGCTGGAGCTCCGGGGTGAACCCAAGGGCCGTCAAAGCCACAGTCACCCAGTTTATACATCAAATCAAATCAAATCAAAAATGCCTTTATTTAGCAAGCGTTCCTCAGTATAAACTGCTTTACAGGATAACTCTTGTCAATTAACTAATACTAGATAAAACTAATAACAGAAAGTATAATCTAACCAGAAAGTATACAAGCAAAAAATTCTATTTACATTTCTATTTCAATCTATTTACAAAATTTGAGGTACTTCATTCACAGCTGTATACATTTCTTTTATTTTATTTCTGAACGCTGGAACACATTCCATATTTATGTCAGTTTATTTGATAGTAAAAATACATTTCATACACAATAAATATATTATATGAAGTGAGAATAGTCATGAAACAACGAGTTATTCATATTATCTACACTATCAACAGCTAATGCGAACATTGTTTACACAACTTTAAACTTAATACACTAAATAATGGTACATCTGAATATACTTAAGAGTGAAATAATGAACTATTGATAAAGAATGATTTTTCTTAAGCCTTTAACAGCCTTACATCAAACACATACCTACATCAATGCCTATATCAATATTTCACATGCAAGTATATCATTCAAACACAAAAAATCATTCTTCCAAGCCTGTCTCCCCACTTGGGTGAAAAAAAAACATACAAAGATGCAGGCGCAGGCAGATGATAGGTATACACTAGCACTAGACAGTGACAGTGAGGTTATGTTCTAACTCAATGCTCTGTTTTAGGGGAAGCTAAGGGGAGTGAGCTGGTCTAGTGGTTAGAACGCGGGACTGCAGTTCCTGGGGTTCCGGGTTAAAATCACGCCAAATCACCAATGGATTTTATCTAAGTGATAATGCTAGACACTAGGTCTAGCCTGAAATAATGTGAAAAACAACTCCGGGCTCGTGCCTAGCGTACTAGGACAAAAAAACTCAAAGCTTCACTCATGCTTAGTTACAACTAGTTGATGATTAAATTATAATAAATAAATACAATCCTTATAAATTTCCTGCATATACCTTCCCAGTTTTTGTTGTATGTTTCCTTAAGTGATACTAACCAATTCATTTACATTGTGACCAAACAACTAACTAATGCAAATATCCTGTTAACAAATTGTGATAACCATGTGTAGGCTATGAATTTTCTATAAAATATTTCTTTAAATAATTTAACTTTAAGCTCATTTATACTTGCTACTGATTTTAAATGTATTTGTAGTTAGTTTAACAAGGTTGGAAAGTTAATTTTCCATTATTATTAAAATGCCTTTCAGATCTAAATTGTCTATGCGTAAGGGTATTTTCTATATCATTAAACCTTCTAAAATAATCATTAAAGTAATGTCTACTTAGGTCGGTATATTTAGCCAATGCATCAAAGGAAATTATTCCTATAAGATTAGACGGAATTTCACTAAATAAAACTATAAGCATTCTTTGTAAGACATTTCTAAGCTTTACTTTGATATATTCAGTCGTACTTATAATAAAACTCGTAATAATAATAATTTTTTTATAATAACTGTACTTTTTACTTTCTATATTTTGATCATAACAGTAAGATCAGCCCCCGAATTAGGACCCATTCTTCATACCGATTATTTAATCCCCCCTCCTGCCATCCGAAAAGGGCCTAAGACTTTCCTTATTATGCTACTTCCCTCTAACTCCTAATATTTTATTTTGTTGTTGTACTAATTTATAATAAATATAGTTTTACAGTAATTACCTAATTTTTATTATTAGAGCACCAACCCCACCCCACGTTGGGACTCTTA